AGTAATGCTGTGTCATTCACTCTCACTCCGCCACTCGCTTCTACTGCCTTTGTCATTCACTCCGCATCCACCTTCCCCAACTTCGAATACCGTCTCTGTCACCATTATGAGCGATAGAACGGACTCTGACCTATATATATTACACTTTCATTCTTCCTGGAATTACATGCTGGGTTAATCCTTTCCTATTTTCTGAAATAACTTTCGCCGCATTGTAAATATTCTCTTTTTACTTCTTACCTTGTCAATCTCATTTCAGTTCTTAAGCATACACAATGTTGATTTATTCACAACAGATTTAATATAAATCAAATATCATCAAATAACAAAAGTATGATATATATTAATTTTCTGTATCTTTGAAAACAGACAAAGAATTCTTTCAACCAGACTTTATTTTGGAAATCAACATCAACAATAATACTCGCGATAGACAATAGACATAACATGACACGTGAGAGTAAGGTATTGCCGCCAAATGTATTTTGTTTTTGTTTTGAGGACAGGAGAAAAGAAACAGTGAAAGACAAATTGATTTGTATTTATTTATTATTATTATCATTATTTTGCTATTGCTTTCGCGGACGTCGGAATATCGGCGGAAAAAATCGGCATTTTCACTTTTTAATTTTTTTTCCTGGAAATAAATGTCGGCGGGCCCTCTATTAAAAAAAAAAAAAATGCCTAAGAAACAAACGTGATTGTAACGTGGTGTTGTGTGTGTGGTGTGTGTGTGTGTGTGTGTGTGTGTGTGTGTGTGTGTGTGTGTGTGTGTGTGTGTGTGTGTGTGTGTGTGTGTGTGTGTGTGTGTGTGTGTGTGTGTGTGTGCGTGTGTGTGGTGTGTGTGTGTGCGTGTGTGTGTGTGTGCGTGTGCGTGTGCGTGTGTGTGTGTGCGTGTGATATTTCTCCAGTTATATGCGTAATATGCGCTCATTAGCACCTGCGCATTATTTATTGAGATTGAGATAATATAATGTTCAGCAACTCCACTATTGTCTCTAGCTCTTGTCTGCGTGACCAACTATGAAAAAGTATAAAATTTATTTCAACTTAATTTTTATCTGGCTGTTTGGAATCACCGTTTATATTACTCACCGTCTATATAAAACTTCAGGATAGGTTAAATTAAATAATAAAGCTTCATTTTCAAATATGAAAAGTTATATAGTCCGTATTATTGAAGTGAAAAAGTGTATCCCTAGAATATCTCAGAATAAACAAAGGAAGGTCAATTTGCACGGGCGTCACTTCGTCTGACCCCGCCCTCGCTTCGTTTTCTTCACCCATGACCTTCTACATTGACGCCATGAGCCAGGGGTCACTCGTTAAGGTCAAGGAGAGGTGGTCACCTTCTACTTTCTGCTGAGACAAACGCCTAATGTCATGAGTATTATTTTGTAGTCGATTTATTTCCACAGATTCTGCTTCAAGTACCACACAGCCTGGCAAGATTTATATTACAGATTCTCTCTCTCTCTCTCTCTCTCTCTCATTCATTGACAAACTTTCTCTCTCACTCACACACACAAACTCACACGTGTGTGTGTGTTGTGGTGTGTGTGTGGTGTGTGTGTGTGTGTGTGTGTGTGTGTGTGTGTGTGTGTGTGTGTGTGTGTGTGTGTGTGTGTGAGAGGTCGTCCTTAGCCGGGGTTTATGTTCGAGGATACATGATACATGACCTACGTAAGAAAACTAATTAGAGAGAGTCATCTTGTTCGACCTGAAGATTGCAGTGTTCTCATCCTGTTCGACCTGAAGATTGCAGTGTTCTCTGCAATATTCCTCTTATTAGCACTGTCCACTTAATTGTTTAGTGGAACCTGAGTTGTCGTTTAACTATCGCGTCTCAGATTTCACTGGGCAGTTTTAATATAAAATGCTGTTTGGGAATGAATTATGTATGAAGGGCATAGGTGCTAGGAATCTATAAAAAAAATAACGCTGGTTAGTATGTTTAATGCACATTTTAACGATTATTCTCTTTAATTTGATTCAAATTCAGCATGGCCTCCATATTGGTATACCATTGCTTGTGATATGATTATTGACTTACAAATGCTTTATTTCTTAGTTTTGGTTCGATTAAAAGTGTGAAATCTACGTTTGATGATGGTAAAGATATTTTCTCGCAGAAAACCAGAGAAAGCTCACGAAAAACTGGTTCTGCAAACTGGTCTTTCACTGCTGCCTATTTCTCAAAGAAACTCTGGATCTCTTAGATTCTTGTGTAGACTAAGAATATCATGTTAATTTTGGTTAGCCGCTCGCTGGCTTAACAATTGCTTATCTAAAGGGGTCAGTGTGCAAAATGATTAAATAACCAAGTTAACTCTCATTCGTGATTGCTAAGTCATTTTGCATCTTATTCCCGTAAACTCTGCATACATTTTCTTTTATTTTGTTCATATATCCTTATTCTGACTTGAGGAATTCGTGATTTCTCTTTGATTAGGAACAAGTTTATACGTTTCCACAAAGATATCTGTATTTCTTGTGTACTTGAATTGGTGGTGCTTGCTGCTGGGGATATCTGTTTATGTCAAATCTTTATTTCTACATAATGTCATAGATGTGAATATATGCTGCAAAATTCTGTATAAATCGTTCTTATGATGCATTGTTATATATAGGTTTCATATACAGATTTCTCTCCACAATACTCATTTTTTTGCAATTAAGCGAAAGTATACATTTAGCTCACACTCGCCTAAACTTAACTCGCAGCAGCTGTTTAGACCTTCCCAAGCTCCTCCAGTTTACATGTTATAGTTGACGCAGATTGTATACAGCAGCATGACTAAGCACAATGTGGAAGAACGAGTCAGGACTAGCCACTCGCCTTTCCCAACGAGTTGTTTGGCAATTCGTTTCATTCTGATCTCGCCTTTGCAGCAAAGTGGATTTAGGACTTGAAGAAGAAGAAGAAGAAGAGAAGAAGAAGAAGAGAAGAAGAAGAAGAAGAAGAGAAGAAGAGAAGAAGAAGAAGAAGAAGAAGAAGAAGAGAAGAAAAGAAGAAGAAGAAGAGAAGAAGAAGAAGAAGAAGAAGAAGAAGAAGAAGAAGAAGAGAAGAAGAAGAGAGAAGAAGAGAGAGAGAGAAGAGAGAGAGAGAGACGCTGACGTCCATGTGGATAGAGTATAACCTCAGATTATACTCATTTTATAACATTGACAGACATTTCTACAATATAAGGACACACAGCTTCTATCTCTAGGCCGTGATAGTAAGGGGGATGAAGGGGGGGGGGTGATGGGGGGACTGTCGAATGTCACGACCGAGAATTTCAGTGACAAGTTAGAGTATATTTTAGATTAGAGAGTATTATTCAGTGTATCTTTAATCAATAATAATTTTCCACCAAACTATAATTTCTTTCCACTCCTTTCACATTCTATACCTGAATCATAAGGCTCAAAGATCTCATTTCTAGCGTCAAGCATATGCCAAACATCAATACCAGTATCCACTATATTCATTCCAATACACGCAATGTCAACTGATACGAAGGTCAGTGTCTATTTCGACCCGTGTTGACCTACGTCGAATCTCCTTTAAAACTTCTGCAATCGTCTTGGATTTTGTCAACAATGCCTTTTCCCTTTTCCCGTCGTTGCAGCCACTTGGGAATGGAGGTCAGTTTTAATGAAAATTCCTTAGAAGAAATGGTTCTGTGTTCGTTCAGAGGTTGCAGGGAGGCCAGGCTGTCCTTCCTATATTTCTTCTTTGTCTCTTTCGTGTGTGTGTGTGTGTGTGTGTGTGTGTGTGTGTGTGTGTGTGTGTGTGTGTGTGTGTGTGTGTGTGTGTGTGTGTGTGTGTGTGTGTGTGTGAGCCTTTATAACACCGCTACAATTTTACTTTTACATTTTATTCAGTTATGCTTCCATGGCATTTTCTGAAACTATTTTTCCAAACGTAGTATTAGTACTTTCAAGTATTAAGGATCGGTTAGACTTAAATTTTGATGCATTATATGAAAATACAAAAGAATATAAAAGCAATATTTTCCTTTATTTGCACGCTTCATTATAAACTACATGATTATGTGAACACTCAAAACCCTTAGCAATGAGTTTAGAAACTTTCTTTTTGCAGCAATCTCACGGCAAAGGAATCAAACTAAAATGTATTATATAACTTTCAGGTAATCAAATCTCCAAAATACTTTATGAATTTATTGAATAATTCCATGTAAGACAAGTCAGACTAGTTTACCTCCAACGGTAAGTTAAAAACGAATAAATAAAATAAGTACAACAGTAATGGTAATGATAACAGTAACAAAGAAAATAACGTTTGCCGTAACATACATTTAGTAATCCTAACTTTAATATATCAAACTTTACGTGAAATAGACTTTCGGAGAGAAATGCCAACACATATTTCGCGGTCATTCGAGCTATATTTTTCAAGCTCTATACCTTTCCTCTAAGAAAAATCAGGGACACCAAATTGTGGCTTTCTTTTCTCTCTCTCTCTGCCACAAACAATTGAACAAAGTATCAAACATGAGTCATTCATAACAAAGCAGAAACGAGCACAAAATCACGAAAGAATTGAACACTTATCAATACTGACAACTGAACGACCATCAACTGGGTAGTTTCCGCGCTGGGGAGGTGGGGTGGGAAGGATCATCTCTCACAGGAGATTCTACACTGCAATAACAGCAGCTCACTCATCGCAGTCACAGCGAGGAAGACCAGAAGGCACCCAAACCTCACGAGACTAGGAGAGGGAAACGCGGCTGTGAGATTTAACAGCATTTCCTGATGTTGGACTTGGGTACGCGGGAGATCGCAATGACCTACTGTTTGGTAATGATCAAATAACATCATTAGAAGCTAGTAGAAGGGTACGGGGGAGATGGTATATCACCTACTGTGGAAAAAGTATGAACGAGACCGAATATCTTCACAATACAAGAGATGTATTTAACCGGTTTCGGTTATAACTTCGTCAGAAATACATGTATTTCTGACGAAGATATAATCGAAACCGGTTAAATACATCTCTTGTATTGTGAAAATATTCGGTCTCATTCATACCTTTCCTCATTTGTCAACATGAATACGGTTCATATCACCTACTGTTTGATAATGCTCATAAATCATACATATAAACTTGTAAGAGAACGTAGGTGGTGGTAATGAACTACTGATAAACCTCATATCATACCAACTTGTAAAAATAGACTAAACATATCAAAGTAAAGAACACACAATAACAAGCACCATTCGATAAAAAAGATATACCAAATATACGGTAGGGATACGCCGTCTAAGTTGGCTCCTAGTTCACCCACCCAACGACCAACAGCTGATCGGAACGTCTACGTCGTTAGCTTCAGTGCGATTCAGTCACAGGCTCAGATCTGAAAGAAGAGAAAATAGGTCAAGGTTTTAAATCAGGGTTTGAATGTAATCATACAATGAACGTTTTCTTCTGGGGAAATACTTGTCGTAAACACGGATGAAAGGAGGAAGAGGGAGGGTGAGAGTAAAAGGGAATGGGGGGGGGGGGAAGAGGGGGGAGAGGAGGGAGAGAAAGAGAAGAGAAGAGAGAGAGAAGAGAGAGAGAGAGAGAGAGAGAGAGAGAGAGAGAGAGAGAGAGAGAGAGAGAGAGAGAGAGAGAGAGAGAGAGAGAGAGAGAGAGAAAGAGAAAGAGAGAGCGAGAGAAAGAAGTCGGAGAGAGAACCAAGAGATCATATATGAAAAAACAGAAGTATCCCCCTCTGACATCACGCACCCAAGGTTAAAGCCGCACTGTGTGGTTCCCTCGAAAGTGCCCAGTGGCTTCGGTAGACGACCCGGAAACGTGGCTTAGACTATGGGCGTTGTCCATTGCCTTTTCTGAGACTAACATGGGTCTAACGTGTAATAATGTTGGGATGAATTCAATTTTCGGTTATATTTACGGTCTTTTTTCAACAGGATGTATGTATACATGTATGCGTATATGTATGAATATGTGTATGCCTGTATGTAACTATACACAAGAGCACACAATATAGTATATATGCATAATCATATATGTATATATTATATATATATATATATATATATATATATTATATATATTATATATATAATATATAATATATATATATGTATATGGGAACCTATCCAGAGTTAATCCTATCTCGAGTGCAAAAGGTTTGGACAGTGGGATGTCTATGTTACTTTATCAACTCCAAAAAGGGATTTCTTAAGTTCAGCAAGTGGTGCGATGGGAGGGGGGAGCCCCTTGTTGCCCCCCCCCCCTTAGTTGAGTTTAATTAAACAGCGAGTGCAGACAAACTTTCTCCACAGATTGGCACTTTGCTGAAAGAAACAGTGCTACTCTCTAGAGCTACAAGAGCCAAAATGGACGATATAAATGGATATTACGAAAACAATCATTTTCCTTCTCCATAATACTATAAATTAACTATCCACAATCAAAGTGATCAAATACTATAGTAATATTAATGATGTCAATAATAAACGGTTAGGTTAACATCAACTACCAGAATTTCCCACGTGTTCCAAAAACACTATTGTGTGTTGTTGCTTTTTGGTATAGTATTTTCTCATTTTATTTTACGGTAATTTGGAAGATATTTTGTAAGTGTTCGGTCGCACATATTTCTTGAGAACGTAGAAAACCGCTGACTTATTTAAGCTGTTTACTGTGCTTCATGTTTTGTCGTTGGGTAAGAAAACTATCTCTTTTTCTAAGCAGAACTAAAAAACACACAAATTGCTCGTCCAATTAGACTACGTAGAAGAGGATAATCCATTGTTTAATTCACATGGGAATATATGCAGGCTTGAATTTAATAGTTGTTTATATCCGTGCCTCTATAATTAATATTTATTTCTTATCGTGTTTTCATTTGTTGGCGAACGCGTGTGTGCAGACATAATACAGATATATAAACAGTTTTTAACCACGTTTGTTTATTATCTTTACGTATAGTATATTTATGCTTTGCCTGGATGAATTTCTCCCTTTCTGCTACAAAGTTGACTTCATTTCCCATAATACTTCCGTAAACAAGAATGGGATATCACCGAGAGAGAGAGAGAGAGAGAGAAAAAAAACGAAGATAAAATAACCATACCCATTTTCATAATTTATATTAGGGACTGCTGATACCAAAGAAAACGGAAACAACAGTAGCTCAACTAAACTGAAGTAACTACAGTCTAAAAGCGCTGTCACAGTAGCACTTTTTCCATCATTTTGACAATTTTATTTAACATAATACAGTCTAGGAGACGACGACGAGGAAGACAAACTAAAACATTTCAACTACAAACTTTATTGCCTGTAATCATGAACATCAGTCTGGACTAGGGGTAATAAGGCGGCCACAAAGCACTCATTAAAATATCTAAGGAGTATATAGATAATCAATAGTAACAAATGAATAAATGAATTAGGACCTAAACCGATAACTATTATAGTTCAATATAATATAAATTAATATCTTACATATAAAACGCGGGGTAACGATACCAAAATGTCTGAGAATCACTGATCTAGACCTACCTGATCTAAATCTCGTCTTTGGAAATATCCTCAGTATACAATAAAAAAGAAACGATAATTATGAAAATGAGAAACGGCAACTGCCTAGCATCTTCCGAACCGAGAAATGGCGTTACAATTATTCTGTTGTATTAAAAGTGAAAACATGGAACAAACGAACAAAAGCCAGTGGCAGCTAAGAGCATTTTTTTTATTTCTAGAAGGAGCATTTAAGTGACCAACACCATCTTGGTATCATTGAAAATGCAACCCCACACCTAATTTAAAGAATCTGAGTTTACCATGTGGTAGAACACATTCTATGATAGTTTTCTTCTATACCATTTTCTTCGCAAATTGACAATAACGGAGTTATAGAGGGTATAAAATCCACGATTTCCAAGAGCCGCAGTAACCTTCCGCTTCCAGTGCCGCGTCAAAATGACAAAAAGCCGTTAATAGCGATGGAAAATCGGACGGATTTGTAGCGGATGACGTATGCGAGGGAAATCAAATGAGCCAATTAGATTCGTGCGTGAACGTGACATGAACATAAGACACTCAATAGAACCAATCAGATATGGAATAGATCATCACGTGACAATAGAAGCTGGGCCTAGGAGAAAGCAGTTGAAATTCAAATCAGTTCCATCATGGCTCGACAGTCTGGAGGTTGTGAGAACAATTATTTCGATTTCACTGCGAAATATCAAAATAACGAAGCAAGCTTACTAAATCTACATCACGGCGTACTGTCAATTGAAGTACAATGCCCCCGCACAAAGAAATCGTGTCATTACAGAAATGACAAGACACCAGTGGGTTTGTTTTGCATGAAAAAGGATTAAAAAATAAAACGAAGAAAGCAGTGTAACTTTGTTGTAAGCGAACGCAACTCCCGCTAACAACGACCTGGAATACCCCGACGATCCCAGTGACCCGCAGCCTGGCCCGTCTGGAGTTAATGCTTCAGGTAAGATGAGGTTAAAATTGTCCCTAGGTCTGGGCCCTCTCCTGCCGGAACATATGAGGTGAAAATTTTGCAAACCAGGCGGGGGTGGGGGGGCTGCAGCCTCCCCTGAAAAGGGGTTATAAGGGGGCGAAGACCCCTTTATCTGCTGAAAACGTGTCTGATACCTGGTTTGCCCGGGCTCTATCCTGCCGGAATATACGAGGTGAAGATTTTGTGGACCAGGCTGGGGGTAGGGGGGGGCGGTGCCCCCCCTGAAAGGGGATTTAAGGGGGCTTATACAACCCGGAAATATGTTTATATACTATGCTTACTAATATCCTACCGATATTTCTTGAAATTCCCAGATATGTAGGCCTACCATGCCCTCCCCAGCTATCGAGACCTATATCGTAGCTATGCTTCGTTTGCGAAGGAAATTGCTAGATTCGTTCGAAACACGACGAAAGCTATTGGAAAATTATTCTATTCACCCCCCCAAAAAAATGGTGTGGGGTTGCATTTCCAAATTTGCCACGATCTTTTATATATCAAGGAGAACCTCATCTATACAATGTTCAATCTTTTTTTTAAGTTACCCCTACAAGTTAGTTTTCTTTAATACTATCGTAGGGGTAACCTAGAAAAAAAAAAACGTTAATACTAAGAGTCCACACCGGCAGTGATTATAATATTTATGAATTGATTTATGTTACAAACGTAAAAAATGCCACTTACAATCTTTGTATCAGGCACTTGAATACAAATACAATAAGAGGCAAGGTGTCCGGAGCTAAGTCTTCTTTTCGTCGAAGAAAGGATGCTGAAAGAGAAGAAAAATAAGGTTTACTTAATTATATTTCCATAAAAAAACATACAAAAACTTGAAAATAAAGACTGAACTCCTCGAAATTTAATGGATCTCTTATATAGAAGAAATAAAGGAATGAAAAAGGAATGGAGAGGAGCCGAAACTGCTGGGAAGGAATTTATGTCCTCTTCTGTTTCAGTCAAAAGGCATTGGAAAAAAACACATTCAACCAGAATGTATAAATTTACTAATAGAACGTCACTCACTGAACCAAATACGCGAGTTACGTAACATTATCCTCTTTTGTTATTCGAGATTCACAAGGAGGGAAATACGTGCAGACTACAAGACTAATTTCAAACTAGACCACAAACGTTTTGGAAAATCTCCAGACCGAGTTCGTCTAAGTTTGGTCTGCTGAATCTAGAAAGGATTCAAGTAAAAAAGTAAATAAAAAAAATAAAGCATGACAAATATTTAAAGGAAGGAAAAAAGAAAAAAAAAAAAAATAAGAAAAAAAATCCAAAAAGAAGAAAACTAAAAACAAGGTAGGAATGGGCGGAAATATGCCTTCTATATGTGATCCATTTTGAATTTGAACCAGAGAGGCTGATGCAATGCACGCGTCAAGGTTTCCCCACAAAATCCGTTAAGTGATGGACCTTATCCTTATCTAGCATCAACTATATTGATAAAGGAACAAGGAGAAGAAAGGGGATACCGATTACTACTGTACTACTACTATGACTGCTATGACCACCTACTACTACGACGACTACGACTATTACCAATGCTATTACAACTACTAGAAGGAAAAAGTAGGAATCAGAATGAAGAAATTTAACTTATTTTTTATTGTATTCTTTATCGTTTTACAATTGTCCTTGCTACTACTGTTGCTATTACGACTAATACTGCCCTTAATTATCATCATTAGCATTATCCTTTTTGCTGCTGAGGTTGAAAATAATAACGATGATAATGGCAAAAATGGCAACAACTTACTCAGGAAACCGGAAAGAGAAGAACGAAAAAAGGAAAAAAAAGGAAAAAAAGGAAGGAATGTGAAGCGATAAAAAAGTAGAAAATCCCAATTTCCTAAGGAATTTATGGAATCCCTGCATAAAAAAGAGATAAACATTTCCATTACAAAGTGGGAATATCCATTACTATATAGTAACTAATCTTATCACGATGGCCTTAGAAGGTGTATTCTGATAAGATTTTTTTTTTGTGATGCTCATGCGATAATACTTATCATAAAACCAACTTAGTGATGTCGGATGCTTGTGTCAATTTTTTTTAAATTTCCGTTCATATCCTTACCCTTGCCAGTTATACAAGTTAGACGTATTACTTTAAGACGCTTCTCAGTAAAAAAAAATATGCTGGTATCTGCGCGCGCGTGTGGGTGTGTGATAAAATGTTGAGAGAGCGAAAGAAGGGGAGAGGGAGAGGGTGAGGATGGAGAGGGAGGGAGAGAGGGAGAGGAGAGCGGGAGAGGGAGAGAGAAGGGAGAGAGGAGAGAGAGGGAGAGGGGAGAGGAGAGAAGGGAGGGAGAGGGAGGGAGGGAGGGAGAGGGAAGGAGAGAGAGAGGAAGGAGAGGGGAGGGAGGGGGAGAGGAGAGGGAGGGAGGAGAGGGAGGGGGAGGGGAGGGAGAGGGGAGGGAGGAGGGAGGGGAGGGAGAGGGAGAGGGAGGGAGGGAGAGGGAGAGGAGAGGGGAGGGAGGAGGGAGGAGAGGGAGGGAGAGGGAAGGGAGAGGAGGGAGAGGGAAGGGAGAGGAGAGGGAAGAGGGAGAGGGAGAGAGCGAGGAGGAGAGGGAAGGAGAGGAGGGAGAGGGAGGGAGGAGGGGAAGGAGAGGGAGGGGAGAGGAGGGAGAGGAGGAGAGGGAGGGAGAGGAGGGAGAGGGAGGGAGAGGGAGGGAGAGAGGGAGAGGGAAGGAGAGGGAGGGAGAGGGAAGGGAGAGAAGGGAGGGAGAGGGAGGGAGAGTGAGAGGAAACCCAGGTTTCTGTTGTCTAAATACTTACTCGGTCTTTGCTCAAGTACCTGGGGAGTGCATCTAGGAAAATCTTTATTACATTACCATCAACAGAACAGGAAAAGGTAAAGAAAAAGAGGGAGAAGAGGAGATTATATCCTTTCGTATTAATTGTTTCTCCCGATTTTTCCCCCGAAATAATAAATAATAAAAGACTGTACAAACACTGAATATACGCGAATCAGTATGCAAGGAAGTCGAAAATATCCCCAATATAATATGAATCCATTAATACCAACCCAATAATGGTTTTGTCGATTACAGAACAATGTAACACGGTTTGGCTGTAATTAAACACGGATTATCGGTAATTTGATTTTCAGTTCAATTGCAAACTCAATTTCCAGCTTAACTTTAGTGAGAGAAATGTACACTGAAGCAATAGATATAGGAATGGATAAAGGTGGAGAGATGTAGGAATGGATAAAGGTGGAGAGATGTAGGAATGGATAACGGTGGAGAGATGTAGGAATGGATAAAGGTGGAGAGATGTAGAAATGTGTGGACCAAAGATGGACTGTAGAATGGACAAAGATGATGTAGGAATGGATATGTGGACCCCAGGAATGGATGGAGAGATGTAGGAATGGACAAAGATGGAGGAATGTAGGAATGGAGAGGATGGGAGAATGGACAAAGGTGGAGAGATGTAGGAATGGATTGTAAATGGATGTGATAGATGGAGAGAGATAGAATGGACAAAGATGGAGAGATGTAGGAATGGACATGGACAAAGATGGAAGAGATGTAGGAATGGACAAAGGTGGAGAGATGTAGGAATGGAGAGATGTAGGAATGAGAAGAGATGTAGGAATGGACAAAGGTGGAGAGATGTAGGAATGGACAAAGATGTGTAGGAGAAAGGTGTAGAATGGACAAAGGTGGAGACAAAGAGAGATGTAGGAATGGATAAAGGTGGAGAGATGTAGGAATGGATAAAGGTGGAGAGATGTAGGAATGGATGGAGAGATGTAGGAATGGATAAAGGTGGAGAGATGTAGGAATGGATAAAGGTGGAGAGATGTAAAGGACAAAGGTGGAGAGAATGTAGAGGACAAATGAGAGATGTAGGAATGGACAAAGGTGGAGAGATGTAGGGACAAAGGTGGAGAGATGTAGGAATGACAAAGGTGGAGAGATGTAGGAGATGTCAGATTAAAAGGTGGAGAGATGTAGGAATGGATAAAAGGTGGAGAGATGATGGGGAGAGATGTAGGAATGGATAGGTGGAGAGATGTAGGAATGGAGATAAAGGTGGAAGAGATGTAGGAATAAAGGTGGATGTAAATGGAATATGGGAATGGATGGTGGAGAGAGTTAGGAATGGATAAAGGTGGAGAGATGTAGGAATGGATATGGGAATATGGGTGAGAGATGTAAAGAATGGATAAAGGTGGAGAGATGTAGAATGGATAAAGGTGGAGAGATAGGAATGGAGGGAGATGTAGATGGATACCATGGAGAGATAGGAATGGATAACGATGGAGAGATATGGAATGGATAAAGATGTAAGAGATGGGAATGGATAAAGATGTAAAGATATGGGAATGGATAAAGATGTAGAGATATGGGAATGGATAAAGATGTAGAGATATGGGAATGGATAAAGATGTAGAGATATGGGATGATGGGGGAATGGATAAAGATGTAGATATGGAATGGATATGGAGAGATATGGGAATGGATAAAGATGTAAGAGATATGGGAATGGATAAAGATGTAAAGATATGGGGAATGGATAAAGATGTAGAGATATGGGAATGGATAAAGATGTAGAGATATGGGAATGGATAAAGATGTAGATATGGGAATGGATAAAGATGTAGATATGGGAATGGATAAAGATGTAGAGATATGGGAATGGATGATGATATATGGGAATGGATAACGATGTAGAGATATGGGAATGGATGTAGATAAAGATGTAGAGATATGGGAATGGATAAGATGTAGAGAATATGGGAATGGATAAAGATGGAGGATAAAGATGTATATGGAATGGATAAAGATGGAGAGATATGGGAAGGATAAAGGTGTAGATATATAGGAATGGATAAAGACGCATTGATACAGGAATGGATAAAGATGTAGAGACATAGAAATGGATAAAGATGTAGAGGCATAGAAATGGATAAAGATGTAGAGGCATAGAAATGGATAAACATAGAAATGGATAAAGATTAGAGGGATAAAGATGTAGACAAATACAATTGTATATCCATATAAAATAGAGCGAGGGATTCTTTTCAGTACGGACACCTCTCACGGTTATTCTTTCCGTCAAAAAAGCGGTAATTAAACTTAATAAAACAAAGAAGAGAAATAAAAGAAAGAAAAAAAGAAAGAAAAGAGGAAGAAAGGCGGAAACGAGAACATGATTAACCTCATTAACGGCTTTATATAATCGATCAGACGTAAAAAACCGTTATTGTTGCATCATCTGTACTGCATCAGCTGATATATTCTTTGGGGGGGGGGGTTATAAATGACATAAGAGGTTTTATCTGAAGCGAGATGTAGGTGAGATAAAGGGGGCATGGGGTAAGGGGGGGAGGAGGAGGGGGGAGATGGAGGAGGAGGGGAAACGGAGAGAGGGAAATTAGAAGAGAAATTAGATAATTGGGTGGGGAGGATGAAGGGAGGGAAGGAAGGAAAGAGGGAAGAAGTGAAGAGTAGAAAAAGAAGAAAAACGGAGAAATAGAGAGTAAATATAATGTGGTATAGGGAAGCGGATTGAGTGAGGGTAAAAGGAGAAAACGAGCAAGAGCCAGAAAGAGAAAGAGGGTGAGAAAAAGAGAAGACAAAACGAAAGAAAAGAAAAAGAAAGAAAGAGAGGGAGAGAAATGTGAGAAAGAAAAATAGAAACCAAATGCGAGGAAAAGAAACAAAAAGGAAAAACGGAAAAACTTCAAACCAAAGAGAAATAAAAATAAAAAAGAGAAACAGAATGAGAAAGAAAATGAAGGAGAGCGGGGGAAATAAAAGGGGGAAATGGAGAACTGAAAGTATGAAACGTAGGGAAAAGGGGAGACCATGTCCTGTTCCGTTTTTTTTTCTTTTTTTGCCTATTGCCTCATTTCGGTAATTCTCTTCAATACGGACAACTTTCTCACTAATATAAACCATTTTTTCTTTAATTTCTGGCGTTACCGAATATATTTCTTGTACCAACGACTATTTGTCCTTTACACGAACATCTTCTATTCGCCCAAGCTTAGTGTGTCCATACCGAGAGGATTAACGTTATAAACGGCTTTATATCGTCGAGCAAATGTAAAAGATCGTTGTGGTTGCATCATCTTTTGTACTGCATCAGTCGATCACTTTTTTTCGGGGGAAAGGGTTATATAAAAGGCTTAATATAAGACGTCTTATCTAAAGCAAGATGTTGGGGTTGGGGTATTGAGATTGAGGGGGTGAAGGTAAATGGGGGAATGGTGGGGAACGGGTAGGGAAGGGGGAGGGGAAGGATATGTAATCACTGAGGATGTTGTGGCATTAGTCTCTCAGCGGTGCTATGCAGCGGATATTTTCGTCATTTACCGGTAAATACGAGGCCGGTCCAGCTTAAAATATGTTTTTCCTTACTCTATTCATTGCGCTCAATAAGATAATGGTGTTCGTTTCCCTCCATTTCCGCGCGTCGCTCTCGGTAAGCTATAACCCGCCTTTTTCAACAAGTCTGGAAAACACCATCCCTACCTGGCTGCTTCATGGAGTTCGTGCCAACGGAGTGACGACTGCGGCCGCTGTGATCCTGATGGCCGGAGAATCCTGATGGCCGGAGAATCCTCACAGAATGGTGGCGTTTCTTCTCTCACTTGTTCAAATAATAAAACATTTCCATATCAGTATGGATGTCGCTTATGTAAGTGTTTACATATGGATCTCAAATGTTAGTATATAAAAGGGTTAATGTTTATCAAGAAATATTATTTCATTCGCAAATGCGAACGATTATTATCACTGGTTAGAAGTAATACTTTGGACAAAAAGGAAAAAACAAAACCCGAGTCGTTCAAAGTAATCTCGGAGGAAATATCGCAATAAACACTAAAAACCGGTTAAGAGTCCGAAACAAGAGGCAGCATCATCACACAACGGAGTCGAGGCTCCCGAACTTGGCGAAGACGCCGCGGCCGACGCTCTTCCACCGCTGCTCCAGCGCCTGCGAGGCGGACAGCGGAGGCGACGCCAGCGGAGACAGGTGCGGCGAAAGCTCCAGCATCGACGAGTACTCGACGGGCAGGAGGTCTTCCAGCGTTAGTTTCAGCCTCTTGTTCTTCTTCCGAGACATTTCGATGTCGAGGTCGTCCTTCGCCGTGAACGAGAGGCACTTGGGCGTGTTGCAAGTGGGCGAAGAGTAGAGGGTGGTGCTCATGGCCAGAATTTCCTCCAGGGCGGAGCACAAGTCGTCGGCCTTGGGCGAAGGCTCTCCTCCGTAGGCCCTCGGAGTGAAGTCGCCGAACGGAGAGAAGGAACTCACCCTCCTGTACTTGTCGGGCATGGCGGTTCCGAAGGGCGTGAACTTCGGCGTCGCCACTTTCGCGGTGGAGGCGAAGGGAGGTTCTCTGGGCGGCGGACTCGTCATAATTTTGGCGATCTTCTTGCTCTTGATCACATCCACTGGCTTGTAGCGTCGGTAAATGTAGCACGTGAGGGCGATGGCCCAGAAAAGCAGCTGCGGCAGCACGAACACGAACACTATATCAGCTGTAAGGTACTCCATTATTGCACCGCTGCTTTCCTTTCCCTCGTGAGTGGGTGTTCGCGACTGTCCCCCGTCGGTGCCCCGAAGTCTACACCGACAGCAGAACTGGGAGGTGTCAGCGCTGGCCTAACACCGCCCTTTCCGAACGAGCTGTTTGGTAGTTACTTAGTTGTCTTCGCCTTTATGATATTGGGGTTTAAAGGCGAAACATATAATTTTACGATGCACTACACTAATTGCCAGATGTTGCTATTTATCTTCGTCGTGGAGCTTATTGTTCAGTAGTCTCAGGTCACAGATTCGTTCATTTATAAAGGACAATACAGACACCTGAACGGATACTTTGGAAAAAACACTTTTACATAGTTCGGCGGTTTGATTCGCTCGAAGTAATCTATATGTTATTTGTAGGTCACTCTTATATTATAATCGCTATCGTGACTATAATTAGCTTGTAGTATTAAAATCAATATTATTATCATCATCCTTACCATCATTACCACCATTCTCATCACTATATTTTTATCCCTACTATTATCAGTAGCATCATCATAATCATGATTATAATCAAATCATAATCAAAATCACCACCAACACCATCATCAATCATCATCATCATAATTATCACCACCACTATCACTATCACCTACACCATAATCTTAACAAGGGTGATGATAACGAGAATAAACATGATAATAATAATAATAATAACGATAGCAATTAGAAAACTAATAATAGTAATTGTAACTTTGATACTAATAATCATAATGATAATAATAATAATAATGTTAATGTAAGATTAATGACGATAATAATAATAATGAGATAAATTATAATAATGATAATCCTAATTATGAAGATCATAAAGATTATGATGATCATAAATGATTAAAGATAAAAATGATGATAATAATAATAATGATAATGATGATAATTATAATAATGATAATGATAATGGTAATAAAGGTAATGGTGATAATAATAATAATAATAATAGTGATAATAATGATAATAATAATGATAATAAAATGATAATACTAATAATGATAATGATAATAACAATGATAATGATAATAATAATGAGGATGCTAATGCTAAAGATAAAATTAATAATAATAATGATAGAGATTGATGATGACGATGATAATAATAATAATAATAATAATAACAATGATAATGATAATGATCATTACCATAACAATGAATAATATTAATGATCATAGTGATAATAACAAAGTAATTACCACAACAACAAAAATAGTAAAATTACTCCTCCTACTGCTAGCACTACTAATGATAATAAGTGTTGATAATAATATTCATAATCATAATAATGGTGATGATTTTAACTTCCTTGATGGTTTGAGAGGAAAATGCGTAGATAATTCCCATTACATTCCTGAGAATGATTTATCCTGCTACAAGGGAAATTCCTACTTACGTCATAGAAAATTTGTAGATGAGATAAGATACGAGATAAGACACGTGCGGGATAATACGGATGATAAGGATTCCACAGTGACGCAAGCCTCATCGGAAGTACAGCTGATATAGCCTCTTTATAAGTCGCTGTTTCACACTAGGATCTCCATAAGACAACTGACAGTCTAAGCGAGCACAACGATCCTAAAACTACAACAAAGAGTTTCTGATAACATTTTTGTTCTCTGCGTCTGCTGAACTCGAAATACATCTGGTTCTGGACATTGTTTTATTTCTCTTCGTACTTTTGCCAGTACCTAAGCTTCTAGTACAGAAGGAGAGACATAAAGGAAAGTATACTTAAAACAATAGCACACGAGTGAACGGCAGCCATGCCTTTCTGGTCCACACTTGCCGTGTCGAAGGGGACGAATTTTGCGAGTCTCAGCCCCGAGTGGACCCGCCCTGGAACCGACCGGAAAGAAGTCCCATCCGTCCACGCTGGCGACTCGGGACGGAAATCTTCGCCAGTCGCAGAAAAGATGAGCCTCGACGACGACCTCCTGATGTGCAGCAGCGGGGCGGAGCTGCTTCCCCGGACGGCCATAGTAAGTGAGAAAAGCGAACGGCAAAGTCATCTTTAATGTTGAAATTTCGCTAAGATTCCGACCATGCTTTGACGATTACATGCCGATGTGTGGTCTAACGTTCGATGATTTCTAAAGATGTGGATAATGAATATCGTAGCATGGAGGGTAATGAGCGTATGCTTACAACCTAAATCAAACCTTGCACCTTACCAGAACACATATTACCCATGCAAAGGTACGAATGAGAATAATCATTCAAGCTCGTTCTTACTTTCCCTAAATTTTTCGCAATTGAACTTATAAATCTCGCTCTTCTAGGATATGCCCGAAGATGACGATGGAACGAGCGAGGACACAGGCCGTCAGCAGTGGTCGCACCCGGTGGAGTTCCTCATGTCGTGTGTGTCCCTCTCGGTGGGTCTGGGGAACATCTGGAGGTTCCCCATGACTGCCTATGAGAACGGCGGGGGAGCGTTCCTTATTCCGTACCTCGTCGTTCTTACGTTCATTGGCAGGGTAAGTGAAACCAACGCAGGGAAAACTAAAATTTCCCCATTTTGTGAATAAAATGTTATAAAACAGGTTTCATATAAAAAAGAGATTATTTTTTTACCCCAATTCTATGAACACTTGAGCCCAATTACATGGATTGTGGTAGCTTAAAATCCGTCAATAACATATTTTTTCTCTTTTGGTGCAGCCTCTTTACTTCATGGAGCTGGCTGTGGGGCAATTCTCCTCCTCCGGCAGCGTCAAAGTGTGGAAGATGTTACCGGCCGTAAAAGGTGGGATATGGACGTCTATTTGCGTTTTCTGTATGATAAAACTTCAATTCTTTAAAGACTCACAGAGATGATGATATATTCAAAGGCTATAAGTCTTTTTTAATTCTGATCATTCGGAAGTGTGTGTGTTTTTTTTTTACGACAGGTTCCTCGCCATAGAATGACATGTTCTACGAGATAACAACAATATCTAATTCAATTTTTTATCATTAGGTGTCGGGTACGGGCAGATGGTCGGAACGTGGTCGGTTGTGACCTATTACTGCTCGCTCATGGCCATCACCTTGTTCTACCTGTTTCAGTCCTTCAACTCTGAGCTCCCGTGGGCTTCCTGTGACCCGGCGTGGGCTGACGAAAACTGCGTCGACGATGCCATCAACGCCACGTTAACCAGTGGCTTTCAGTCGTCGTCTGAACAATATTTCTAGTACGTATATTAAGACTTGATTGATTCCTTCACCTCGGAAAATATATGTCGGAAAACACGGATATATATACCTGATTGTGAAACAGATAAACAACGTTATACATTCTCTGATTCTGTCTTTTATCTTCCTTCCACAGCAAGTACGTGTTGAACTATTCCAACGATATCAGCGAGGGCGTCGGGATGCCTGACTGGCGGCTGGCGATCTGCCTCGGCGTCGCCTGGGTCATCCTGTTCTGCACGCTGGTGAAGGGCGTGCAGTCGTCGGGCAAAGTAAGGACCGGAGAAATCATTTACGTTGGGAATTACACTGTGAACAATGCCCTGTTTGCATGAGGAACTGGAGACATTGTAGATTGAACTTTGTTTCGAATAATTGGAACTGATGATGATGCTCTATATTTCAAACGGAATGCCCGACTGAAAGATACATACATACATACACACAACACACTTGCACACACACACACACAACATAAACATGTATACACATATATATATATATATATATATATATATATATATATATATATATTTATATGTATATATGTACAGTATATATACACATGTATGGTTATGCATCATGCAACCCTGTCAATATAAAATAGTTTTCCCTTAAAAGCCCTAAATTCTTCAAAGAGAATGGATCATTCAAGGAGTAACTAAGATAAATCTTTAAACTCCCTCAGGTTGCATATTTTACGGCCCTTTTCCCCTACCTGGTCCTCTTCACTCTGCTCGTTCGAGGTGCAACGCTTCCTGGAGCCGTCAAAGGCATCATCTACTTTCTTAAGCCAGAGTGGAACAGACTGCTTGACCCTAAAGTAAGTCA